CCCTCACCGCACTCAATACGGGCTCATGTCTCGTTGGGAGAGTGAATGATGTTTTCCGGATTTTCTGCTTTGTTTCGCGATAGTAGAGGTCATTCAACGGCGTGACACGCATTCCAAGGCGTCTAAAATCTTGTTTAAACAGGGATCTAAATATAGCGGAAACAGGGCAGAATCGGGCTTTAGCGCCAGGACGAAGTATAAGCAGTAATGCATTGTGGAACAAATTAATTAATCTCCGATGGAATTAAAATAAGTGTAAGAACACCTGTATTTCATTTGAACTGTGTACAGAAATTACATTTATTCTAATATTATACATGCTTAATGAAGGCAAGACTGTGACGAGATGCTTCTGCGCACTAAACACTGTTTTCTGAAATGGGCTGTAAAATTCTCAGGTAGAAAATTTCTCCCACACACGCCACGATTTTGAACATCCGACATGTAAACTTTAGTGTGTTGCTGGAGGACGCCTGACGGGCGCCTGTAGAATTATAGCCGTGCTAGGAGGAGTTGGTGGACCGGAAAAGACACACTCACAGTCCACAGAAACTCGATGAAAATATAACAGACACGATTCTAAACTTTCAAAGATTTATCTTGGCTTCCTTAACAACACGAAGACCTTATAGATAGGTTTAACAACTAGAACATTTTATGGTGAACGATAGGTAAACCGACGGTTAAGCCAGTTACAACAGCCCTAACTCGATGCACTCGTAATCGGCATAACCCCGGCCCCAGAATTATTCTCATACATTTCCTTAGTCCATCATGACGAATAATGTGATACAACCTCCATATGCTATTTCCCTTCATTTGTCGTTCATATTTTCGCTACCATATGTCATCACACGTTGTTCTTTCGTGATTATTTCATCAAATAATCCATATAACGTTGAACAGGAAATAACAGGATAAATGCATGAGCAGTTAATAGGAAATAATTAACAAGCAAACGGTGGTGGCCTATTTTGAAGCACTAATGCTGCCTATTTTGGATGGACCAAAATATAACTATGTAAATAACGTGATTTTTCCGTCATTATGAAAGATAACACAACAAGCTTCAAAAGAGGGACCTTCAGAAAGTGATTTAGAAATTACAGTCGTTACGGCGTTTTGTACAGATGTAATTAAATTCTTGTACCTAAATAATCTCTTCACGAGTTTGTTAAAAAAACCCAAATTTTTGTACTTTGTGTAGAGTGAGAGGATACTATATCAGCGATTAATTCGCCTTGTTTATCTGATAATTTCAATATACAGTGCAGAAATGGTTCCACAAAGGAATATGAGTTTCAAATCCATTACAAAGAAACGGCAATTCTCATAAAACGTAAGGTCTCCCACTTGGAACTTAGTGTACGTAGTCTGATAAAATATAAACACAATCAATCCCATCACATCCTAGTTAGGTTCGGGGAAATCCAAGTTCTTTGATAACTTGCATTTGCCCAAACATAAGGGATGGTGTCACTCAGTGTCTGCGAGTTGCAATCTTCATGGTTTCTTGTTTTGTTCCCATTGTTCGAAACAAATTTTCGAGCGAAGTCAGGAAAACGATCAACCGATCGTCTCTCGCAGCAGACTAAAGAAAGACTTCGCTATGTTTGACAAATACAGTCAATTTACTTTGAGTTCCTATTGTCTAACGCAGAAAAATGAGCCCCAATTCAGTAGCGGAGAACAAAAACCAATCCCTTCCCTTCGGAAAATTCAACTTCTACCCGAAACAAAGCATTCATGAAGCTGTGATCTCGGAAATGAAAGTCAACGATCTGAAGCCACAGCGTAAACCATTTTAAATTGCTCCTAACTATCTATTCTGTACCATAAAAGCAAGGTCAGAACATGAGTAAAGTTAGAATAATTATTAAAATATATATCACCCCCTTAAAAAACCGAAAAAATATTCTGTAGAAAAGGACATTTCAAAATTAGGGTAGGTATTATGCAGCAACAGGCCAATTAATCTTTTCGCCTTATCCATAAACATTTTGATAGATATAAAATGGTTATCTTCTAAGGATACAATGGCTCACAATAAAGTGTTATGTTGTCATATGTACGTACTTATTATATGTGAGTGCATTGCAAAAGCCATTTTAATAAAATTGAAACTGGGCACAAAATTAATTTTGGCAACAAATTAATACAGTAATTTTAACTTCGTACCTTCTAAGTGGCGACACAATCATCTTACCTTCACCGCTGTCTTTTCCATAGCATTATGTTATATTCATGGTTTTCTGTACTGAAAACAGCGTCTCTTAAACGTTACAAATACAGTATATTTTTATAAAATATTAAGTTTTGGCAGATAAATAATCTTCACGTAGCTAAACGTACACGAAGGAAAGCTAACTGGCTGGGACATATTATGAGAAGGAATGGATTAATGAGTGATATCATCGAAGGCCAGGTTGAAGGAAGGCGAGGACTGGGAAGAGGACTGATACAGCTAACCGACGACCTTAAACAAGGAAAGAAGATGACGTTCCAGGAATTAAAGTGAGAAGCCGAGAATAGGGACAACTGGAGAGCTCTTTTTGGGCAGAGCAACGGACCTGTCGTAAGACAGAACACTTAATAATAATAATAGCTAAACGTACTGTCTCAAGCCACCATGAAGAACTCATCACTGATTCGACGTATTTTAATTCTCTATTCCATCTGAAACGAATGGTTATACTGTGGTTCCATCGTCAGCGGACGTTACCGTAGAGGCAAGAAGAGAAAACACTAGGCGCAAAATTAAATGAGTTGTTTCTAAAGTAACTGAAGGAATAAATGCAGTTAATTTTCGATCACTTACGTTTTGAAATTAAATCATATATACTGAATATTTTAGGCGTTTGATATGACTCAACGCAATTCACATTAACTTGAAAGGCAATAAGAAAAACGTGGAATCACGTCCATGCGGGAAAGCAATCGGCGTTCATTGAGATCGGCTAATAAATACATAACTCACATCTTTGTGGCATCTAGCGCTACAGAATTGATGGCATTTTTATTGGCTCAGCATCGCAAGCCCACGACGCTGCACTCTTTTCAGCGGCACTTATGAGAGTTATAAATAACCGAAGAAATACAAAATAATAAAACATTAAACATTCAATTTGATGACTTGTAATAAACTTTGTATCACTATTCTACAGTCAGTATACCGCAAAATACGTACATATAGCACATCTGAAAATGTGTTCATGCGTTCATGTTGAATAGTCGTCAATGTTCAACGACCAATTATAAAAAATACAAGCAAACTGACTGATAATAAAGGCAATCGACAGAATTTTCTAAACAACTGTTCCTCTGTAGAAGAATTGTTTGATTGGTTCAGACTGACCCTAAGAAGGCAAGAAGCACTCATGCGTACTTGTATTTTTTCATAATACTAAGTGCAATTAGATTAAATCCAATGAAAAGTGTTCCAGAACCAAACAATTTTGTAGTGACACTAATCCACGTATTAAAAGCAATGTAAACGGGACTTATAATCGTCACCTCACGAAGCAATGTTTGGTTTCATAGTGGCAGATAATCAATACGCGGATCAAAAATGAATATTTGTTTAATGTGAAGAACTGCAAAAAGTATACAGGCTACGATCTCAACTGACATGTCTGTAAAACAACAGTATGATGATTCCACGTTATTTAACGACACTCTAACAATTACAAGAATTACTTGGCTTCGATTAACATAGAGACGGTGTATGAAATGGGAATGCGAAGATGAAGTCAGACTTACCACATTCAAGAAAGACGAATATGCCATCAACTGGCTGAATAGGAAAGAACAATAGGACGAACGCCCGAGTCACAACACCCTGAGTTGTGACTAAACGTCGAATCCAGTGCCTGAAAAAATAAAGTAAGCACCATATCATGAATTTTGTTACGGTACAAAATTATACAATTTATGTGATGTGTGTTTCATATGTACCAGTCTGAGGAAATACATTTTAAAAGGCATGCTCTATAGTTATTAAATTTTACGTAGACATTAAAAAGTTTACATTTTTGCTGTTATTTTAATTTTATAAACACTACCTTCCTATTTTATAAAACGTTATTAGAAATTACGACGAGAACAAATGAAAAAGTGGGCTTGTGAAATGATAATTATTGTTTCTTTAAACACAGAGAGACATTTTGCATAAAAGCTTTGAACATGAGACCTTTAATTATGGGATATTTGGGCGCGTTTACTTTAAAATTGAAAACTCCTCATTAAGTATTAGCAAAGGAAACGGAGGTCCGATTTTGAACTGAAGATGATTAACTAACACCTTTCCGCAGGACATTTGGAAACAAAAAGAGATATATTATACTTTGAAGCTACTAAGTTCTGAGACTCCTTCTCCTTGCTATCTTTGACGGATTGCTCAAAACGAAGCCACTGTATACCTCTCACAATTCAAAACTCATGAGGCCTCAAGGCGAGTTTCTTTCTCTGAGTTCACCATTGTGTGGCTTGTTGGGAAAAAAAGAAACTAATGTCTGATAATCCTTCAAAAAAAGATTTTTGCTAATAAGAAGCGTGTTACGTACATTAATTATCAAATATTCATTTGCATTTATTAACAAGGTAAAAACAGATATAATCGTCCATATAATAAGAATGCTCATAAATTCAATATATATACCATTAATCATTCTCTCTTAATGTGCCATTCTCACGATAGTTCATCCTCTCTTTCTTACCCATTTCGTTTCACACTCTTCCGTTCCAACTAAATATCAACAGTTTTTGTTTCTCTGTACCGACTTCATTCATCAAGAAAACGCTCTTCGTTTGTCAATTGTTTTTCTACAGGCTCCTCGTTTTTTAAACTGTTCTTTATTTTCCACAACTTTCACCGGAAAAACCACTTACTTATTCTACAACAACAAATAAGAAAACCTGCTAGTTAAAAACACATCAAACGAATACACATTTCAACGAATGTTACAAATAGGTTTCTTTTCTAAAGGTAGAAATACATACTAAATATGTGGGATGACCTTCATTATTGTTGAACCCTGGGATACTGGGGATACTGGGAACGACCCGTTCTTCAAGTGCCTGAGCACTGCGGGTCCCAACTTTTCGTTGGCTTGATCAATAGACATTCGGTAGGACTCCTTGGACGGGGGATCGGCCCGTCGCAAGGCCTCTACCTGTACACAGGACAGCACAACACAGAAAAACGCGGACAAACATTCATGCCTTGAGTGGGATTCGAAACCATGGTCCTAGCTACCAAGAGGCACAAGGCCCACGCCTCAGACCGCGCGGCCACTGCGGACCCCACTGTTGAACCCTCCTTTACCAAATAATCTGTCGCATAACAGTTACCGTTCGTATGGAAGTTTATGTACGGGATATAAGCTATTAAGCATCATTGTGTGGGAGGGCACCAAGTTATCCATTGCAAAATATTCAAATATGATAGCAAATTTCCCTGTTAATACGTGATGACGGACAACAAACGTAGCTCATTTAGAGCTGAGTGCAATAACAAATAATGCACGTACCGGGAACCGTTCAAGGGCTTATATTTCATACTCATATTAAGAAGCAATTTACAGCTTGGATATAGGTGACGAACAAAATGCTATTTGTAGAGCGTCCATGTATCGTTACAGATGTGCAAGACAGTCCTAAGCTGGATATGACGTTATTCTCGAAATAACCTACAAGTAAATGTGCTTATTTTACCCAAGTCACATACTGGCACTTTATTTGAATTCAGATGTTATTACAACGTTCTAAAATTAAACGTAACTAACTTAGTGATATTATAGTTAGAACTAATATAAAGATTATTTACACGAGAAAAATAATGTAATCAATTTGAATTGAAAGTTGCAAGAACTGTGCCTTTAGTTTTTAACTCGCGTCAAAACTGAATGCCATTTCATTTAAAAATTAATTTAAATATCCATGCGATGTTAATTTTGTGGTTATAATAGCACACTGACCGCGCGATCTGAGGCGTGGGGCTTGTGCCGCTTGGACACTGGGACCGTGGTTTCAAAACCCACTCAAGGCATGAATGTTTGTCCGCGTCTTTCTGTGTTGTGCTACCCTGTGTACAGGTAGAGAGTTTGTCCAAGGGGTCCTACCGAATGTCTAATAGGTTTAGTAACCTCCAAAAAAGAGGGGCCAGACCTGCACTGAGTTGTAGAGACACAGATGATGATGATGATGATGACAGCACATTAAGGCACCTTGCATCCCTGGTGTGACAGGCCTTCCATTGATGTCTTCGCCCAAACACCTGGCGTGGAAGATGTGACGGCTTCCTCAGCCGTGTACTTTTAGAATATAAAATCATGCATACAGACAAAACTGTTTACACTTGAAAGGACACTAATGCCAAACGCGTTTCGACCTCAAGAGGCCATCATCAGTTGCAAGGTAAATTAATTAATAAAATACAATTCAAAAGACTATGGTTTTCTACAGAGCATAGAAGGTATGTACTTTACAAAATCATACTTATGTAACACCTTTTTTCTCTTTATTGCCAGGTCAAATAACACATTGGAGTCATGGGCGTTCTGTTCATCTATGTTTTATTTTTTGCTGGTTTCATAGATGTGGAATTTTTATAAAATTTCAAGCATTTTACCTTTAGAGGCTATTCTTAATGCGTCCAAGATATCTTCCATGGGGCAGTATTCGTGTCTGTGGTCGAGAATGTGTTGGGCGTATTTTGATTTTGTTACGTTGAATCTAATGTCGTGGACATTAGACCTGCTCGCAGCTACCGCATTTTAACTGGTTTACACCACTTTATTGCATTTATTACCTTGTTTTTTTAAATTGCATCGGAATTTTATGGTGTTATTGACTTTGTAGGCTCAACCGTCATCGTTCGTGTCTACTCCTTGCGTCCTTCTTCATTTCTTGACTCATACCGCGTAATCTCTACAGCTTATACCGTTGAATAACCACACACACCACACTCCTATCTCAAGAAAATAACCAGGCTTCTTGTTCCCTTACTTTCAGCGGAACTTAATAAGGGCACATCATGAGCGAGTCCTTGTTACAACAAGCTGTAGCCAATTTTCCGGACCAAGTACCACAATCAAAGTTTTCAATAGGAACTTTACTCAGGGGATGATGGGTATTTTCGAAGCACCAGGTGACGAAGAAGTAATACTTCCACTTCTAGGAAGAAATCTACTAAACATATCTGAAAAAGATGCATGAGTAGCAAATATGCAAATGCCACGGTAAATGAATTGCCATTTGACCTACTGAATTCAAATAAAATTTCAAGTTTTTACGACTACGAGCATGAAGATGGCCGTGTTCTGTGACGTAGTCTGGTAGAAATTTCCCGACGTTTCAAAGATACACTACCTCCATCTTCAGGGCGATGAATAAGCCGAGTGTGAAAAAGTGGGTCGAGAAATAACAAGAGACCGGACAAGATCGAAACTTGGCTGGAACAACGAATGAGAGGGGATGATCGAGGAGGAAACGGATAGAGGACCAGCTGGCAGTGAGGAGAGGAAAAATAGAAACAGGAAAATACATTATATAAATTAGGGTAGGGCAAAACAAGCAAGTTTTCTTTTTCTTTTTGTTTCAGCGTTTTGGTTATAGTCTCGTTATTTCACTTTCTTGGTTTTACATAATTTTTTTAGTTCTGAGAATAGGGTACTTTTGTTTAGTCTCTTTGTTTTTTATATTTCTCAAAGCAGTTTTACGTTTTCACTTATTTTGTTTTTCTTGGTTTTTATTTCTGAATTAACTACACCACTGTCTGTGAATCCTATTAGACACTACAAAACTCTACGTAGAATTAACTTAATACCAAAACAACATTTCCGTTCTTCCAACACCTGATACAGAAAATGACCTTAAATCTGGCTCTTAAGTCTGGTCAAGAATACAACACACTCAATCCATTCAAACCCCATGATGTGGACGAAGGATTTTTGCTCAATTGATCACCTTCTTGCTATATTCGTGAGCCTGCACCCACAGAGTCCATCCATCAATATCTTTTGTCACTGTTTTGTGACTTGTAAGAGAAGTAAAAGCAAACCGGAAAGGAAATGAAGGAAAAGCGAAAAGAAATGGGTTCTATAGGCATCTATAAAAACAGACATCGAATAATGTTGCAAAGAAATGTGTCAATATTCTTTTTCCGTAACGAAAAAACAGACTTTTCCCCTGTTATACACTTCTATGCTCTTTCAAGCCGCGGAAAAAAGTTTTGTTCGCTTGAGGAACTGAACGTTCTCTTCTTCTCTTTCACCTTCAAAAGTCTGAACTATTAAGAATACTGGCTACGACACGCAGCGATAGACTAATCCAAACATGAAATATAAAATTGAAATAAGTGGTACTGTTACTTCTTGTGGTCATTAAATAAAAATATTTTCTGCTCTGCCCAACATTTAATTAGGTCGTATAATCACATTGTGTAGCTGTTGCTTCGTAAAAAACTTTTTACTTCTACTGAACCGAGAAAGGTATGTTATCGACTAGCAACGTATGAAGATAAATTAAAAGTGAACTGAAAATAATCATCAACAGATAACATTTGATAACTATGTGCACAATATGATTTTAGGTTTTAAATAGCGACATGTGAGCCCATAATTTCTTTATTGGTTTTGTTTAGTCATAGGAAGAAACACCATGATATTTTTAAGAGTCAGTAAACACATCTGTTCTATTTCTTTACTCGGAAGTAGGCACTGAACTCATAACGATAGCTGAGTTATTAAAATGATTAAATAGCCTATTTCTAAAACGCGACAAACAAACACATTCAAAGGATGTATAACGATTATACTGATAGAATTAGCTATACGCGTGCGTGCATAGACAATGTCAATGGACATACCTT